TAGGGTTTAGGGTCTGGGGTTTGGGCAAGTATCCCCCCCCCATAGGTACTTAGGACCCTTTGGATCTGGGAGGCCTCCCCGTGCGCTCGAAGATGTGTAGGTGACGGCCGGCCTGCTCCAGCGGCGGTGGCCAGGTGCCGTCCAAGGAAGGGGAGTCCAGGGCTCGGTACCTATAAACCCTAAACCCTGAACCCTGAACTATCCCTAAACCTTAAAGCCTAAACCCTTAACTGTCCCAAACCCTAAACCTTAAACCCTAAACCCTTGGCTCCCCCTAAACCCTCAAACCTAAACCCCTAACCCTAAACCCTAAACTCTAAACCCTGAACCCTTAATTCTCCCTAAACCTTAAACCCTGAACCCGAAACTTAAACCCCGAACCGATACGCTAAACACTAAACCCTAAACCCGTAACTGTCCCAAACTTTAAACCCTACACCCCGAACACGAAACCTAAACCCCAAACCTGTGCCCTAAACTTTACCTATAGTCTCCATTGTAGTTCCTTTTCGGGGATACCTTATAAATTCCTTAATATATAATTGGTTAAACCAAAAAAAGGAACTACAATGGAGACTATAGGTAACCCCAAACTCACTTCAAGACCAGACCCGTATAGCCCCAAAGCGGCCTAGACCATCCCAGAAGCAGTGCACCCGAAACCCTCAAGCGTTTAGGGGCTCACGTTAGGGGTTTTCGGTTTAGGATTTAGAGTCTTGGATTTCTGGTCTTTTCGTGCCATGCAATGGGCCCTCTTCCTTTGCAGGAGAGAGCGGGGGAGCAGCACTGAACACACACAAAGACACTGAGCACCAAGTTCACTGCGCAGAGATCGGCAGGACAGAACGGTTCCCTCACACGGTGCATGTGATCGTTCACTGACGTGACAGGCCACTCAGTCTCGGATGAGTTCAAAGGGTTTAGGGTTTAGGGTTTAGGCTTCCTCTAAGGGTTTAGGGTTTTTGATTTAGGGTTTTGGGCCCCAAAACAGACCCTGAAACACAAGAATCCCCATGGGACTCGACCCCTAAAGCCCTAATGCAGGGCCCCAAATAATTACCAGTACCATTTTGACGGGGTCCTTATTATAAGTATAGTATAATGGGCCCTAGAATAATAATCAAAACTAGTTTTGGTGTTCCTTTATTATACTTATAGTAGAATGGCCCCAAAACCCAAACCTACTTATTAAGGCCCCTCCCTTATCCCACTATCAACATGAGCCTTCCCACAGGAAAGACCACACCATGGGCTTCCCGGTGTGGCAGCTGCCAAATGTCGCTGATCTCGCGAACCTCGCGGGCTTTGGTGTAGGGATGCAAAAGGTGAAAGAAGGATCCCTTCCACGAAGATGCCGATCCGACACCACCGCATCTATACTCATCCTACCCTTGGAACCCTTCGGTAAGTAGAGAAGTAGAGACCATATGGGAGTTTCCGAAATAAGGGGTACCTTCTTTTGGGGTCCTTATAATATGGATCCTACTATTTAGGGTACTATACTGGGATCCCCTATTTTCGGAAACCCCCATATGGGAACATGAGTAATACTTACTATGATGGCCTGGAGCCTCTAGGGTTTAGAATGTATGCTTGGACTGTTGCTCATCGCATGGGGTTCCGGTTCCGGTGTTCTTCAGGACTTTCGGATTCAAGGACGGGGTTTTAGGGTTTAGGTGTTTCGGGCCCTGAACCCTAAACCCTAAACCGGCCACTGATATCCCAAATCATGCCTGCCGTGTGTGGTTTAAGCCTAGAGCCCGAAACCCCGAAGCCTTCAACCCTGAAGCTCAAAACCCTCCAGCGAGTTGATTTGCAGCTGGGCCGCCAATCTTTCACGAGCCTCCTCGTCCATGGAAAGGGACACCATCCTGTCAGCTTTTTCACGGTTCTTCTCGGGGTTCCTTTTGTGCCAGAAGGTTTCTTTCAGGGTTCCTGTTAAGGGGTTGTAGACTCAGTTGTAGACCTGCTTGCTCGGGTTTGAGGGTTTGGGGTTTTGCGTTTAAGACATGAGGGCGACATAAGGTCTGGCAGACTCTGGCATACTTGTTACTAGCTGCAAGGGTTCAAAAAGGTTGGGGTTGGGGTGTTTCGAGGGTTTTGTCAGGGTGTGCAAGGGTCCTTATCAGGGGTTCCATAAGTGTCTTAGATTGTTTTAAGGGTTGAGGGTTTATGGATGTTTGTGGTTCCTGGTTTTAGGAAGGTCACCAGAAACCCTATACTTTCCGAGAAACTATCGCAGTCTCCAAGAACCAACAACTGTCTATCGCCCGCTCCTGGCAGCAGCATCAGTGAAGCGCATCCCATAGACGGTCACTCCTGCCGAACAGTGCTTTTGGGGCATGGGTTTAGGGTTTAGGGTTTAGGGTTTAGGGGGTTTGAAGGCAAGCGCCTGCGTCTCCTCTGGGGGCTTTAGCGCTCATGGGGCGAAGTGCGGCCGGCAGAAACGACACAACTAGCGGCTTCGTGCAGCAGGCTTGAGGGTTTCCTAGGTGACAGGCTATGGGTTTAGGGTTTAGGGTTTAGGGTTTAGGGTATCATATCAACAGAGATTGCGCAACCCAGAGTTGGGAATGTTACTTTGCACCTGACTCTCGCAGCTCGTGCGCCAGAGCTTCCATGTACTGCTCCATGAAGTGCGTGGCCTCACCATTGACAGCATTCCGGTAATTATGAGTTTCAGCAGCCCTGCTTCTAGAATTTATAGCATATTAACTGCTACTGTCTCACAGCACCAACAACGGTGGACTCCCTACGGATTTTTTGGGCCGATGGCGGGTCTATTGCAGATGTCTTACTGTGCAGGCGCGCATTTGTGTGTGTGTGTGCATATAGCATTGCAGAGTTACATGATACATGGTATAGTGTTACGTCCATTTGCTCGTCTGTTCATTCACTCGTTTATTTACCTGACCTAAACATGTCCTTCTGTCTCTACATGGTCAAGAACAGCGTTTTGTCGGCGAGAGCCGGCTAAGCCTTGCAGTAACTTCACAGAAGCCACATACACTAGCCTAAATCGCGGAGAAAACAGGATAAATAAACCCCCGGCTTCGTTATGAACCCTCATTTCCCCCCTCGCCCCCAGCCCCCACCACCACCCCCACCCCCGTCCTCAGGCAAACCTGAAACGATAATAGCTGCACTACACTAAACCAACAACCCAAACGCCCTAACCCCATGCCCTTTTCGCTGAATCGGACGCCTGAAAGCTCCCTCCCGCTAAACCCTAAACCCTAAACCCTAAACCCAAAACCCAAAACTCAAAACCCAAACCCCTAAACCCTAAACCCAAAACCCTAAACCCTAAACCCTAAACCCCAAACCCTAAACCCCAAACCCCTCCCTCTGGCCAGAACCGACGCACCGCGACCGGCTCCCCAGCGAGCTGGACTCTGCAGCGCCTCCTCGCAGGACCTGGCTTTCAGGAGTTTAGGAGTCCAGCGTCTTGGGTTGAGGGTTTGGGGTTTAGAGTTTAGGTTTTTTAGGCTTTGGGGTTTAGAGTTTAGGTTTTTTAGGGTTTGGGGTTTAGAGTTTAAGTTTTTTAGGGTTTGGGGTTTAGAGTTTAGGTTTTTTAGGGTTTGGGGTTTAGGGTCCAGTGCTTTCGGGCTTTGGGGGCTTTCGCTGGCGCCTTTAGAGCCCTAGGCTTTCAGGCTTTGGGTTTAGGGCCTCATTGAAGACTTGGGGTGTAGGGTGCTTGGGCTCCAATCAAAGTTTCTTTGGGGTGTCGGTAACATGTCTGCAGAAACCTTCACAGAACGCAAGGACGAAACCATGTCTAGACCCTAGTTCTAAACCCTATAAGCTAAAGCCTAACCCGAAACCCCAGAAAAAGAAAAAAAACAAAAAAAAAAAACGAAATGCAACAATCCTCCAGAGCACCAACAGAATCTCAGGCTTGGGGTCACATGCTTAAGGCTCAAGGTTTGGGGTTTAGTGTGTAGGCTTAGGGTTTAGGGCAGGGTTTAGGGGGC